ATCGGAAATTGAGCGTCCGACTCTCAGGTCTATCGATTCCATAGATTCCAAGCTTGCGGAAGAGGATGCGGTGGTCCAAACTTTTGAACGCTTTAGAGAAGTCCAGGTAGACGTAGTCGACTCCCACTGTCAACGGCTAATTCTGTCCAGCTAACTCGGGCTGGAATCAGTTTTGTAGTGCAAGACTGGTCTCGTCGGAATCCGTGCTACTGTGACACTAATATGGTGATGCTCTCAACGTAAACACGAGCGTCTCTGCGATTATATCTTACATTACTTTGGATAAAACAGGGAGAAGAGTGAACTGACGGTAGTTCGAGAGTTGCGCATGATTACAAAATTTGTACTTTGGGGTGAATAATCCATGTTTCCACACTGTGGGAACCTGCACTCCATCTAGACAATGTCAAGAGAACCCAGTTTATCGTTCGGAAATGTTCATGCCTGCTGTCTTTAATGTGAACGATTTCTCAACTGATCTACGGCAAGATTGGGGGATTGCTCAAGCCCCTGCAGCTCGTATAACGTTGGCTCTTTCAGCTAGATCGCACCAACGTCAGCTATGTGCAGCTTGTGTTTCCTCAGCAATCTAGTTAACGTACCGGACGTGGAATGTATATCCGTTCAAAATTAGTTGCTTAATTTGAAGCGAATGACCGAGATGTGTCTGTTGATGATTGTAACCGTACATATCCCCAGTGAACCTAGCCTGTGTTCAGGTATCTCAAAATGCCCATTAACTATACGTTATTCTGCTCCACACCACAACACTGATATTTCCCCTGCATTGTTCTACATGTCATGGACGGATGAGCTGATGTCCCACATTACCCACAAATGCAAAATCTTGGAAGGGTCACTGGAAATGACACGTCTAGCAATCTCCACCAAAAGGTGGAACGCCTACCAAGGTTCGAGAATTAATCAAAAGCGCTTTTCAGATCAACGCTAACCTCCACGATCCATCTATATAGTATGTACAATAATTCATAACAAAGTAAATTTTAAAACACAAGCAAATGGTAAAATTAAATAAGTATGCCACAATTGTTGGAGTTCACCAGCATTCAAAACAATTGACTAAGTCCACTTCAGTAATTGGAAACTGTTATATTATATGTTTAACAAAAAATGATCTGCAGAAAGTTGCTCGCATCCAAGACGTGTTGTTCAGTATTGAAGCAATATTCTTCTAGTGAAGTTCCGTTCGTTATAGCGGTAGCAGTTCATGTCTCGATAAACAGCAATCACGTAGCGTAGGGAAGCAGAGAATAATTACTCAGATTTTCAAAGAATTTTGCTGCCTGCAGCCCGCCAATTATCGTCTGCTTTTATTCTCAGTGCTCTCAATGTTGGTGGAGTTGATTATTAATGACGCACTAATCGACAATCGAGAAAGACCTGAAATCATAGCGCCGAAGCAACAGTGATTCCGTTAGCATCGGCTATGTCCTAGTAATCTATGATTGCACCTAACCCTTGGGCGAAGCAGCCGATAGTGCTATCGGGAATTATCTCTAGTATTTCGATTTTCTAAAGTATACGACAGTTTAGGTCATCATACACTACAATCCTATGCAATTGGAAACACTGGCCATACAAATACGAGAAATTTGTTTTATCAGCTTCGGCACCAAGTTAGAATTTGGAATATATTTTCTGATTCCAGTGATGTGAACTACACCATTCCACAAGTGTCAGTTTAGTGGCTGCGATTATTTTCGCCTACATGAATGGCCTTATATTGTAATCGTTTCGTGTTTTATGTAATTTATAGCTGATATCATGGTATGGTGGGCGTTCGATAGCCACGAGTTTCTCGATATGTTGTAACTGAACTTATACCGTGCTTTTAACGACCAATGGCAATCATAATTCCGCTCAACTCTGGAAAGTGGAAATCCATACAATAACGCCACAATCTCACTAACGCATATTAGCATGAAGACCGTGTGTCGAAGATCGCGTCACAAGAACGATATAATTGCATGATGACGCTAGAAAACATTGAGTATTCTGTGCAATCATTGAAGGCATCCAAAAATGTTAACAATAATGTTATTCTCATGTGAACTGCGCTGTGGCGGCTTCACCCCTCGAACCTTTTTCAAAAGCTCAAGGCAAATGTACGGCTCAAAGTTGAGTACACCATACAGGATTTGCAAAAATGGATAAAAAGCGATCGAATTAGATTTGAGACCCGCTAGCAAAGAGAAAACAAATGGTGAAGGGATGGTTCCAGCTACCATAAGATCTGAGACTGAAGGCCATGAGAGTGTACAGCGGAATTTATTGCGTTCTACAGAGAGGCTTGATTCTGTGGTACCAGAACTAGGAGCATCACATTCATGTTTGCCGCCATCTCAAGGAACTTATCTGCCACACACCGGCACCTCCAGCTAAATCTCGTTGTATAATACAGTCAATGGAGCGCTTCTGGAATTGTTTTATCTACACATTATTTAGCCATGCAACGCTCTTTCCATATTAGTGCTTTACGTGCCCATCGGCCCATATTTATAACACCCATAGGATGTGTTTTATGATTATTAGTTGACTTTAACTCTGTTTATCAAGAGACAACAAAGCGCTGACATTATGACCATCAACCGTCACGAAACCGTGGTAAACGTGTATACAAGTGTTAATGTGGATATTATGGTAAGTCCACTGATGCTTACTTCATCTTTGCGTGTTTTCTGCTAAAATTAACTAATGCATTCCAAGCATCCCACGGACCAGTCAAGCCTTTGATATTTCATTAGTATAATGTCACTATACGATGTAGCTATTACGATACCATTTCAGCAGTTGAATAAAAGCAACAATTAGAAAATACGACATGAACAAACACAATATCCATGGAGATGACAACAAACGTCGTTATATTAGCTTGTCGACTTGAGCACCATTAAAATAAGCTGCACAGACAACATTTCTATAGAGATTTGCACTATTTGGTAGCCGTTTCCATATGAACTTAAGTAAACTTTTGCTGTCAGTCAAAATAGATATGGTTCACGACCATTATTAGCGTTGTATGCTAGGCAAACATTACTTATTTAAAAAATAGTGTGTGACGAAATCCTAAACGTCGACAGTTTCCCAGATTTAGCTATGTAAATCAATAAAGCAAGTAGCAGATTCGTCAACGTAAAATATAAATGAACATCATAATTTCAAATCAAATTATATCGATTTTGACGCACTGAATTACACAGGAAAATATAAATATTAGAAGTACAAATATGCTTTTCTCAAATGGCAATAAATTCATAATGCACTATCAGATATACTTCACAGGCAACATAATCATAAATGAAAGCATAAAATAAACCTGCCGGAGCTTGTTGAGGAACTTTTCGTGAATGTTTATCAAGAGAAATGGGCTTATCTAATTGTGGGTAGCTCATGGAACGCTTTTTTATTTTTTATTCCGCTTGCCTTTGCACAAATCCGAAAGGTCTTACAAATGTTATCGTGGTTTCCTAATAGGAGCTCGATTTTTACGCTATCTAGGGAATTTGTCAGACCTGTTGTATTACGTTTGTAAATGTCTGCCATTGTACCATTCTGATATATTTAATTTTTTTCAATGTAATAGACAAATGAATAGCTTCAGCGCGCGAATGAAAGTTAAACAGTTGCTATTACCTTAATTACTGCTTGCATTTTAAAGTAAAGAAACAAAAGTGCTTTTCGTTGTGTCGGTAAACTCTGGACTGCTTTGAACCCTTGTTCCAAGCGTAGGTGAGAATTGTCATTCTTTGATCGTCAAAATTGTAATACCGGGAATATTTATCCTAATTGCTATATTGTTATGTTTATATTATTCAAACCATGTATAATGCTACCATCATGCTTCAAATGTTTAAGGCAATTATGGTTTAAATAGGAGAAGTGGGCTAGCGTGTACTACGCGTCATGGGATCTACTGGTTCCTTGTAATTTGCTTTTGTTTTTTTTCTGAATTCTACACATTGATATATTAGTCTGTCAAAGACAACTTCATTGGTGGTGGTTTGTCTAGAGAGCTGCAGTGAAGCGTTAATTTAAATGAGTATGTACTCGCATGTACGAGATTTCCTCGTAACATATAAACCATGTTGTTTGCACCCATCGTAGCTCTCCTTATCCATTTAAATATAAACGTTCATATTACTTACAGCGACTTTCCATCTTAGCGTAATATTTCCTTTAAATTAGTACGCCAAATTAACACATCAGTTTGATACAAAGTCGTGCACCCGAGTGATTTGAGACGACATCTAAATATTAGACAATGATCATATATTTTATATAACAGTATGCCTATCCGCCTTATCAAAGTACGAGTTGGATACGAATAATCCCTTGCCTAGGTGCATAAAGCCAACTTGAACATCTAACCTCCCTTGATTTGGCTGGTAGACATAAAATTTTGTGTAAAAGTAGATCAATGGAAATAAACGCAAAGTTGCCAAACTATGCGCATTGTGAATGCTGTGGTAGAAAATCATGCTTTGTACTTTATTCATGGATTTTTACCGTTCACCGTGTAAAATTGATACTAGTAAAATAACCACTTTTGTGAATTCATAAATCCGCTGTTCAGTGAATAAACCGTACTTCCATTCGCCGGTCCGTGAAATAGCAGAACATGAAACTCCGATTTCTTGTAAAAGAAGTTTACTACGTTCATGGTTACAAATAGCAAATAACAATGCGTGAAATATTTAAGTTTCACAATGTCACCAAGTAATTATCATTTTGCATAGTGCGGGTCACCAAACCAAAACTTTAATGAGGGAACAAACTATGCGTTTTGCGCCAGACCAAAACGTCCATTCCAAAGTCTGAGGGCCCTGAAATATCAGCGAGTTAAATGTGTTGATTCGCAGAGGGTAGCTTATGTTTTCAATTTAAAACATAAATGAAAATGGTTGATGGCAGTTATTCGACCAAAATATGCCGCAAATATTGCGACACTTTATCGTAACCGTCATCAAGCTTCTAGTAATCTCAGGTTCTGTCAGTCAACCTGGGAATTTTACTTACCTTTAGCCGTAGTCCTTTGATTATAAATGGATGAGATATGGTGTAGTTTGACCCGTATTTTGACATTTTACATTCATTTTCACCAAACGAAGCGTAGTCCATATCCAAATCAAAGAGCAAAAACCGGCGTGACGGTTTTGACAACAACACGCTAAGTTTTACATTGAAATCGCCCAGATCTTCATCTGTCAATTTAGAGGTGGTAAGTGCAATTTCTTTGGTTATGCTCAGTTCAGATTTTAGATTGCAGGCTTACTATTCGTTGGTTGACAAACTCACCAGTTTGAAATTCAATGGTTATTGTTTTGGTTTGGTTATAGTGTATCACACAAAATCCAGCATTACATCCAGACATAGTGAGCTTCTTGAAAGGAGCAACCGATGCGCCTGACGAAGGAAATGTAGCGGACATGTAATTGTAAATCAATATAGGATTATGGCAAAATAAGTATTAGTGACGTGATTTTATTTTTCACCAATGTATAGCGCAAAATGAATACAAATTGGTTCGCGGTGGTAAGTTAAATATCATGTAGCTTACATTCCTCGTCAAAAGTAACAGCAAACGAGTCAAATACACCAAAGACCAGCAGTAAAAACAAACTAGCCAATTTGCGTAGACACATCATTCGTGTGCTTGACAGAGTTACACGTGAACTTATACTTGAACCCTATTCTTTATTATCTCATTAAATCCATCTCGTCAACTGCAAAATTCAAACTTTTAATCACGCCATGGACCTCCTGCTATGATATAAATGTGTTGTTTGTCTGAATATCCTTGAATACTTTTAACGTATTAGCATTTATAATACATTTCCATTCTCGAATTTGTCAAATTTTTAATTTTTTCGTTTCAAGTTTTGCATGATATCATCTAGTTATATCAAACGGCGCTTCACTATTATACCACAAATTACAATAAACATCACGCGGCTTGCATACCCTTAAATCAACTAATTATTTGACCTTGCCTGATAATGTCAATGACGAACCTTTGTAAATAACTGGTTTACTGGGATGAACGATGTAGGGTTGTGTCTACAGTAACTAAATCAACAGTGGCAACCGTGTAAATGCAGTTTATACCGCCATTGAAATCTCAAGTAAGGCGTCTAGCTCGAAAAGTTTAAACATGACCAGAACTGTGTGACCAACATCCTTAACTACTTTTGGAGAAGAATCTGCGATACTGTCAGCCATAAAAATAAAATGAATACTACCCTCATGTTATCTACGCTTTTTGAATAATTTGTTAACTGTATAAGTGTTTATTGATGGGTTAACAATAGGATAGTTTGTGTTAATAACTACTTTTTCTTAACGTATATCGTTGGTAATTTAGTCGCCTCACGGCATTTCTTACGCGTAGACAACATATTTGGGTTTGTTAGCATTTAATTCAGCGGGGAAATATTGGTTCGATAATATTCATCAGGTGTATGCAGATATACAAACTGGTAACATTGTTTCAACGAACTATGAATTCTCGGCTACGTTTGATCCATTGCACACAGGACGGCATTCAATATACTGATGTGTTACTGTTAGTGTAAGTTAATCAAATTTAATATGAAACAATTGCAGAGCATTCAATGTTGACACTAATCCCGATGCTTTGTTGTTTCGTCAATTGTTAATTTTGTGAAACCCATTGCTTATGTCTTTACACCATATATAGGATTTAGAGATATCATTTTGGTTTGAGAGCGCATGTCTCCAGTAGACACGCGTCACCATAATTAACACGGATTCATTCCCTATAAATACCATACGTTGGCGAACTATTTATGAAGAAAATACTTCCTGCCAAGCAAGAGAAATTTGAACACATACAGCGCAATTTGCTTACAAGATGTGAGACAACAGAGGATTTGTGAGTTGCTCGTCAATATCGAAAAGTTGAACATATTTTGACCATAAGTTTGATAATCAAAAGAGGTACTAGGCTACCTAACCTCGTGTTAGATGTCCTTTTACATAATATACCTAAGTTCTTTCGTCATGACGCTTAGGACACACAAGCCTTTCCAACGTATTTCTCCAACTAATCGTGAAATCATTTATGCATTAGTGCCACCCTAACGCACCAAGGGTGACTCAAAATGCTTACTCATTTTCTACTTATGGTTATACAATTTCTGCATAAGTATACTATCACATTAGTACAACCAAATGATTGCCAATGTGCACTGTATTTCCGAAATAATGATGCGGCTTTTTATGCATCTCATTGACTAGAACGCATTAGGTTGAACTTACGACCTGTGGGGAATCACCGGTATTGCGTATTAACCAGGTCAATTAGAAATCAAATCCATGACACCCATCGCTTTGCACCACTAATCAAAGCATTATGCCACTTTGTCCCATAATATATATACATATATACTTGTGTACATATAAATATATGAATCGAATAACAATAATATTGTGTCGGCTGTACGCCCCAACGGCGCTCCGCTGCCGCGCGACCACCACCAGTCGCGTGCGGGCTGAGTATACCGCGAGGACGCCCACCTCTACGCGGATAATATATGAATAGAAAGATACATAAATCACATTGACGGTAAGTAAGGTACATATATCGTAAAACAAATATCGACCACAACACCCAGAATTCCAACATTTCTTAGGAATTAAATTACAAGCTTTTACCCAACCCTAAGTTGCGTGTTGACTTAACAGACGACATCTGGAGCCATTGGCTGAGGAACTAACCACAAGCCAACGGACTGATATCCGGAAGTCGCTTTCACTGGAAGACGATAAATCATTGCCGAGTTTGCAATTATTTCGCCTGACCACTGGTCAATCTGGGGCCAATATTCTCCATAAATCCAACATGATGTTGTATGGGTGCATGAGCCTATCAGAGTAAAACAAAAATCGGTGAATTAATCTTGTGTCAAGGCACGTCTGCCATGTTAAATTTTGTTAGACGATTAAATGACTTTCATACAAAAAAGATTTCCCAAGTGAAGACCTATTAGGTATTGGCATACTGCCGCCTAACGTTTTTCAGAGACTATTTCAACCCGAATCACATAGTTGGCACGTCGTGCCGATTAGTCAGCAAGTCAGCCAACTTCCTTAGTAAGGTGCAGCCAATAGCCTTTATTAAACACAATATGAAACCTATGATTTCTGCTTCTCTTCTGTGCTATAAGTAAATAATTATAAGGTAAAAGTATACAATGGCACAGATGCATACACTTGCTGTATATTATTAAGATTATAAGTTATGAACCAATGATATTGTTTCCCGTAACCTTACCGTTAGCGTCGCATCTAATCGCATAGGTTGTTTTCGCGGCATTCCCCTTAGTTAGTAGATTGAAATTACAACTTGCCATTCATAATCCACTGCTAAATGAATTGCAGCTGACTGATTGGATGCAGCGTTGATGTGTTTAATTAATCAGCTGCTAAAATGGTCAGACTTCATTAACACCGGGAATTTTAAACTTCCGTTGTTTTTTGCCCAACCACACAGTGTAAAACACACCGGTTTAATCACAATGAAAAATAAAATCCATGGTGGGCATAACAATCTATGTCGGTTAAATAATAAATGCAGTTTTGGTCGAGTATACAAACAGGTGGATTGGAATATCGCCAATACTTAATGTCAGCAGAGAACGCATCAATAATATAGAACTGATAAGCTTTTTTATTGCCATTGCCTTATTGTAATACTGATCTTCGCGAAACATGAAGCTGACTGTCATTACTTAGTATATTTAACAATAGGCTAACCCATTCAACACTAAGGACTGTAATGCATAATTGCACCACGAAGAGAATAATTACAAAGAACATTCTTTAGACAGAAGCCAGACGTGATGGTTAGTTAACAAACTCTTTATACTTTAGAAGTCTACGTATTTTTAGTCGGACCGTTTTGTAAGCAAAATATATACGAACGCATATTTGCTCGCACTATTTGGCGCGGTAACTTAGTTTAATATGCTACTACCGCAAAGGCCGGATGAAATGAGCCAGTTTGTGTGGAGCTTTACTTTCTGGAAAATTAAGCATGAGTGTGATTTTTTAATATAAACTATGTTGCTCGGTCCCCAGGTACAACTATCAGGACAAGATATTTGGTAGAGAAAGAATGCTTTACTCAATAATATTTACCTGCGATGACCATATCGGCCCCTTGCTATACGTCAACTTGCAGCAAATTACTAACTTGACGTTGTTGTGGGTAAGATTGGAATGAACTTGCCAAAGCTACTAGTCGTATCAAAGTTAGGTGAGAATAACTAGGCAGGAAAACGAACTTATCGATCCTTAAGCGGGAACAAAGCAAAATCAATGATCAAAGTTGCTGCCACGTACTCCTAAACCGCTGCTTTCGCAACTTAGTTGAAGCCATCTCTGACCGCACAGACCACTCCCCCATACCTTAAAGATGGAATCCTTTACATGTCCATAACCATCACGTGAGCATACCTTCTCATGGGTTTCCACTAACGCCAACACCAATGTGCTGCATCGATCACAATGCCAGCAGCTCAACACTCCTGCATTCCAGTAGTTCACCAACTACATAGCACAGCCTAGTCCGGCAAAGCATCATATGAGTTTCGTCATCTTGTGCCTCATCATTGGTGCGCCTTTCCTCGGTTTTCTAAGGCGGGTCGAACATATGACCGCCGGAGGCAAATGCCAACTAGCCATCATCATGGCCATCCTCGGCTTATCCGTTCTATGCAGGTGCAATAAAGATACCACATTGCACCAAGTCGGTAGTTAATCATTCTAAAATGAAACTGCACCCAAGCCCGACTTAAATGCGGTATATAGAATAAGGATGACACCAAAATGAATGACGGAGATGGCGTAAAGAAATTTTCAAATTAGCAGGGAAATGGTGCGATTATGTCCACTGCAGGCTATCCGTGTCTTAAGGTAAAACCAGAGCCGATTCTAATCGTCTGTTGTTCGAGATAAGCGAGAATCAACAGGGAGGTAGAACCACCAAGCAATCCGTCATGTGTTACTATTTATTTTCCCCTGGTCATACGTTCGGACCGCTAACATATCTCGACCAATTCATCAGTGTCTAGAATACTACCTATGCCCATGCATTTCCATTCGGATGTTACAACGTATGGCGAATTCGCCATTTAGAAACCATTATAAGCACCACACTTCAGCCTGACAGACATGTCATTTTCACTCGCGTAACACCATTATCTGCTGGCTCGATGTCTAAATGGGACTAGCCTAAAGTACAAATCCCGCTAACATCTGTTCGTGTTTCGATACATTCCCACTTGACAGATGGATGTTATTACATTTCTTCTCGTGTGACACCGTGACTTATTAGGGGTTGCAATATGAAGTCAATGTATCCCATTGTACTGCTGCCGCCTTCAGGTAAACGCACTGAGATTCAGA